TTTCCACTGGGGCCAAGCTGATACATCCTGTGTCCTTTTTCAGATGAGTCGTTCAACCCAGGTGAAGAGGAAGAAGATGTGGCAGAGGAGTGAGTTTTGGTTGTACCTTGTGGGGGTGAGATGGTGACCTACAAGCTTAATAAGAGACCAGAAGATTTCTGGACATTTCGTGTGCCCCAGCATTAGCCACTGACCCAGGGTGGGAAAGTGACCTCCGATGAAGCCATATAGGAAAACATTTCAGAAATTGGCAAGGGCTTTATGAGTACAAGACATGTTTTGGAATGAGAGCCCGTGCTTGCCCACCTGCTCGTTGGGAGTTACTGGATAGGTCATTGAATCTGTTTCCTCATCTGCGAATGCCAGTAGTACCTGTGCCAGATTGGTTAAGGCTCTTGATTGCCAGTGGCAGAAATGTGACTCAAACTGACCATAAAAGGGAATGTATAAAAGGGAATTTTTTGTGAGTTCATGTAATTGCAGAGTCCAGGGATATAACTGGCTTCTGGCACTATTGGATCCAGGTACTCAAATCTGTTTCTTCTGATTTTCTTAGTTTTAGATAAGTTTGCCCCATGGGGTGCCCAGTGACTTTCAGAAGCTCTGGGCAGGCTTAATCCTACTGGTTTAACACTCAGAAGTGCCTCTTCTCTTGGTGAACAGCAGAGTCACCTGCCCCCTCCCAGCCTGAGTTGGGAGGATGCGCATGGCTCCAATGGGCCAGAACGAGGCGAGTGCCCACCCTTAGAGGCTGTGGTTGGGGTGAGCCCCTCCTGAGTAGGGGCAAGGTAGTTCCTAATACTCTCTTAATCCAGAAGGATTGGGAATTAATGTTGGGCTGTAGAAAACTCCAGAAAAAACACCCAGCAGGAGTCCACTCATTCAGCTTGCCACATGCTTGTGAAAATGCCTTGAAAACTTCAGTAGCGTATAGATGTAAGGTAGTTCCATTTTCTGAGGAGTTTCGTGTGTATTGGATAGGACTGTCCATAATATGGGTCTGTACTGGGTTGGACTGAATTTTGTTTTCCTCATTTTTGGTAGTAACCAATTATCTCTGAATCATATAGGACTGTAGGGTAGGTTAAGATGATTAATTTAAGGGAAGTGGTGAAGTGGGCCTGGGCCATGTCCTGGGGATGGACTAGGTCCTGGGGATGGGCTAGGACCTGGGTTAGGCCAAGACCAAGGAGAGCAGCTAAAACCTGTTGGTTCATTTGTTTTTTGTTGATTGATTGAATAACTAACCCATGGCTGTGTCTGGGTCTGGAGAGGGGATGGAAGAAGCCACCTCAGCAAATGGGAGGAAGCAGGGTTGGGGATTGGTGGGGGGAGGCTGTCCTCTCGTCTTCTTCCCTGGCCCTTACTGGGCAAGTATCTGTGGATTCATTGTCCTCTTGTCCTGAGGTTGTGGGGTCCTCTCCGCCCTCCCTGAGTGTAAACCCTACGCTCTGGCAGGTTTGATAGCAATGCCTCAGCCAGCTCCTCCAGTAATGAGGGTGACAGTGACCGGGATGAGAAGAAGCGGAAACAGCTCAAAAAGGCCAAGATGGCCAAGGATCGCAAGAGCCGCAAGAAGCCTATGGAGGTGCAGACTCTCCTCTAGATGGGAGGGGTGTGTTTGTGTGTCGGGAATCCATTCTCTTTACCTTCTCCTGTCTACCACCAGTAGGACCTGTTGATTCACCCTCCTGGGGCTGCTTTTTTAGCCAGTAATTATTACCTTGAGGGGTATCATCTTGGAAATTTTTCTTTCTGGTCCTGAGGTAATTAGCTTCTAGAAGATCTGAATTAGCAGACAGGCTTCTTCTGTTTCAGAAGCCCAGAGGAAACGGGGTACCTAGTAAGCTAGGCACTAGGGGCAGAGGGGAAGACATGATCCTTGCCCTTAGGGAGCTCTCAGTCTAGCCTGATGCTATGCAGTCCTCTGTTTTTTTCCCCAAGTTCGGTGATCCAAATAATTTCTTTGGGAGAATATGGTTGGGGGACCAGTCTAAGGAAAATAGATAGCTGAAGGCATTTGAGTTCTCTCTTACGTAGGTGAAGAAGGGCAAAGACCCCAATGCCCCCAAGAGGCCCATGTCTGCCTACATGCTGTGGCTCAATGCCAGTAGAGAGAAGATCAAGTCAGACCATCCTGGGATCAGTATCACAGATCTTTCCAAGAAGGCCGGCGAGATCTGGAAGGGAATGTCCAAAGAGAAGAAAGAGGTGAGTAGTAGCAGAGAAGAGGGGTGGTGAGTCTGGTAGGCTGGTGAGAGGGGCTTTCTTGGGGTGGTGGTATCCTGACGGGGGGCAGGATGAGCTACTGGTGGAACTTTTATGTGTAGATTTCGCCTGCGTCAGGGAAGAGATCTCATTCTTTGCTGGTTTTATTTTGTGGCTATGTGTGTGTGACAGGAGTGGGATCGCAAGGCTGAGGATGCCAGGAGGGAATATGAAAAAGCCATGAAAGAATATGAAGGGGGCCGAGGCGAGTCTTCCAAGAGGTGAGTGTTGGGAACAGCATGGCCCAGTAACTGCCTTTTTGGCAGATTATTTTTTGCAGGTCAGAGGTGAGCATTGGAATGTTAAGGATAGTAGATACTCCTTTGACCGCAGTAGGGCAGTGCTTCTCAAACCTGGGAGCCATTGCCCAAGCGTGGGTGATGTAGGGAATTCAGGTCACTAGATAAATATAGTCCATTTTCCTGGAGGGTCCATTTTATTTGAAGGTATGGGGGAATTAAATTACTGTGGGGCACAATGCACAATTCACATGAATTTTTAAAGATGAACCAAGAAATGTCAAATAAGTTTTGTATATGGGGCTGCTTCAGGCTATGATCTCAGATTCTTTCGGTGTGCTCACGTATGATAGTCTCCCATCCAGCTGACACGGCTGTTTACATTCAGAGTGAAATGAGCAGTGTAGTGGGATTGGGAAAGGCCTTGTTAAAGCTGGGAGAGGTTTGGCCCAGCTTTTTTCCCTCTTGCTAATATAGGGACAAGTCAAAGAAGAAGAAGAAAGTAAAGGTAAAGATGGAGAAGAAATCAACGCCCTCTAGGGGCTCGTCATCCAAGTCATCGTCAAGGCAGCTAAGTGAGAGCTTCAAGAGCAAAGAATTTGTGTCTAGTGATGAGAGCTCTTCAGGAGAGAACAAGAGCAAAAAGAAGAGGAGGCGGAGTGAGGTGCGGCAGGCACGTGGGGGCTGTGGGGCTGGGCAGGTGAGGGCATGTGAGTGTGTGTGGGGTGGTCTGTAAGCATAATGAGTTGGAATGGATGGGTGGGATTCTGAGGTTCCAAAGGTGAGTGCTGCAGTTGTAGGGAGGGGGTAGGGAATTGGGGACCCTTTGCCACTGGAGAGTGGCCAGGAGACCAGCCAGGACTCCACACTTTTCCCCTTAAGAGACCTTTGGTTTTTAGGACTCCGAAGAAGAGGAACTAGCCAGTACTCCCCCCAGCTCAGAAGACTCAGCGTCTGGATCCGATGAGTAGAGAGGAGGAGGATTCTCCCTCCTTGCGCTTGCCTTGTCACACCCCCAGGCTCCCCACCCATGTTTTGGTACCAGTTCCTCCTCAAGAAATGTAGCCCCTGGATTCTGTGCCATCTGAATAAGCTCTCCTGCTGGTATGCACTTCAATGGGGCAGCAGGGGAGGCCTCTTCACTCTGCTGCTTCATGAGGATGGCTCTTTATAATTTGGGGAGAGACTGGGTGGGAGGCAGGGCAATGCAGGATCCAAATCCTCATCCTACTTTCCCGACCTTAGGGATATAGCTGCTCCTTGTCTTCAAGTTGCTGCAGCAGGGGTCATGTGAGGTCAGGCCTGTAGCTCCTAACTGGGGCCTATTTCTACTTTTATTTTGTATTTCTGGTCTGTGAAAATCATTTAATAAAGGGAACTGACTTTGGAAACTATGTCCTTATGCCTTCTTTCTGGCCCTGTTGTATTGCTCCTTCTCTTGGTGGTGGTTACCATTGTGTCCTGACTGGGCAGGGCCCTCTTAGCTAGCCGGGAAGCAAGTCTCCAGGTACATCCTGCTCTGTTCCCGGCTGGACAAGCATTGGTTTTCACCCTCTTCTGCCGGGATGAGCAACCCCAGAGCTTAGAAATGAAAGCCGATCTGATTAGGAAGTCACTCTCACAGTTCCACTCCATTAGCCCAGCTAGGGAGAGGAAGCTTTTGGCTCCATCCTTAATCACCTGTGAGTCCAGGGTGTTCCAAGGCTTTAGATAATATAATCAGGATTGACTATCCTTCTTGCAACTGGGGGAGTGGAAACCTGAGCTGGGGAGTTGGAGAGGACCGGGTGTGTGTGTGTGTGTGTGTGTGTGTGTGTGTGTGTGTAGGCAGGGGGTGGGGGGGTACAGTGGGATGGAAAAGTATGGAATATGTATAGCTTTTGTTCTTATGGAAAAGGGAATACCAAGTTTTAGGGTTGGGAAGAACCTGTATCTGAGAAGGGGGCCTAAAAGGAGATAAAGGGCACCAACGAGGAAAACTAGAGCTGCCAGACTTCCTCACAGTGTCTGTAAGTGCATTTATACACGTGGGGAGGCCACGTTGTGGACGTCCTCAGGAGGACTCAGGTGGTTTTAACAGGAAGCCTCTCCAGTCCGCCAACAGCTACCTTCTTGCTAGCCGTGGCTCTATGATGCTGCAATCAGCGAAGGCGGCTGGGCCTGAGGCTAGGCAGTCTAGGCAGTCGTCTCGGTGGCCCTTTCGCGAGCGCTTGTAGCTCGATTGCGTCAGTTTCGCTCGAGACCCAGCCTGAGGCGGGCCCCTCATTTGCAAGGCTCATGAATAATTGAGCGCTGGGCCGCGCCTATTTGCCTACGGTGGGACGGATCCCGCTCAGACTTCCACTCCCGGTTTCCACCGGCTTATGAATATTCATGAAGTGCTTTGGGGGCGTGTCCCCGGGCGGGGCTAGGGGCGGGGCCCCGCCGGGCTCGCACAGGCTTGGTTCCGCGGTCACGGCGGCGGCGGCGGCGGCAGCGGCGGCGGCGGCGAGGACTGGCGCTGGGGCACCGAGGCGAGCGGAGCCTAATCCCGGGGGAGCGCGTGAGTGCGCGGGGGCGGGCGGGCCGAGGGGGCGGGGTCCGAGATGGGCGGGGGAGGGGCATAGAAGGAGTGGGCGCTTTCCAGCCGGGACCTCCGGTTGTGAGGGGGTCGCCAGGAAAGTTTGCAGGGGCCGGGGGCTCTAGGGACGCTGGGGGCCCAGGGGAGCTGGCGTGTGTGCGCGGGGGCGGAGGGCGCACGGTCTGGGGCTCGTGCTGGCGGAGCAGAAGAAAGGAGGGAGGGGGCGAGGGCTTGGGGCGGGGCCGGGGCGGGCAGAGCTGCTGGAGGGACCCTTGCCTCCCGCTTCCCCCGGGCCGCGCTTCCCCCTCCTCCCGCTCTTCGGCACGCCCCCAGCCGCCCCAGTCCTCCCCCACCCGGTCCGCGTCCCCAGTCCACCGTCTGTTCGCCTGCTGCTCCACGTCCCGCGCGCTGGTCCGCTTCTGCCGCCACCGCCACCCCCTCCTGCTCCACCCTCTTCTCCTCCTCCTCTTCGGCTGCCGCGGCCCCTTCTGTGTCCAGAGCTCCCCACTGGGCCCCACCAGACAGCCCCTGGCCCCGGGTTGTTCCGTCTTCCCGTTGGCCCTCCCTCTACCAGCAGTGTACACGCTGTCCCTGCCGACCTCTCCAGCCTCAGATCCGGCCCCGAGATTCTGTGGTCCATAGGGGCGACCCCGCTTGCCGGGGGCTGGAGCTGCCCAGCCTGCCCTTCTGGCGGCCTTCACTCCCTGGGGTCAGCTCATCTCCCCCCACCCCCCAGGCCCCCCAGCCTGGGCACAGGGAGTGCTCAGAGCTGCTTCGATTTTGCAGCTTCTGGCCACGGCCTTGGTCACCTGGTACTCTTGGCTGGGGCCTCTGAGCCTGCCTTCGTTGCTGCAGCCCCTCATACGGCAGAGGAGCCTGTTGGACCCCCAGGTGAAAAGGTTTTTCGGTTTTGGGACAATTCATCTCCATCTCTAACCACCCACACACCGTGTCCCTTGTGATAATGTTCAAGGACAAGGAAACAATCTTGTGTTTTTTAATTTTACGTTTCCCATCATATGCCCCTCCCCCCCACACACTTGGGCTGGCTCTGCACAGTTATTCACTCACCCACAGTGGGCAGTCCTCCCTGGTAGTTGGCTGACCAATGGGTCGACAGTACTGGGTTTCTCTACTGTCTTCATACCCTCTCCCATCTTTGAAACAAGCTGGGGCAGGGTCAGAGATGGGGGAGGGCGACTGGGTTTTGCTAAGGTTGGGCACAGAGGTTCCTTCTTTGAATTTTGTGCTATCTTCCCAGACCAGCTGGAGTGGGTGACTTTAAGGGAGGCAGTGCCCTTTGCAGGTTGGAGAGGGTTGGGTTGTCCACAGGGCTCTGTGCATACCAGGTGATGGGAAACATCCTTTTTGGTTTTGAATGAAAGAGGCAGGGCTCTATGCCCCTGGCTGGAGAGCCTGGGGGTTCTTGAGGGTGGGAGGGTGCTTCCGGAGCCAGGATGGGAACTGAGGAGGTGGTGGAGTACCTGAAGAACAGATGACAGGACTGAGGCCTGGGGAGTGAAGGAATGGTTTGGGAATGCTGGCAGCCTGGGGTCAGGGGAGAGGAGGAGGTGATTACCAGGGATGTTAGCTCATTGCTGACACTGAATGGAATCACAGCAATAATGGCCAGCATTTATTGGACACTTACTGTATGCTAAGGCATTGTGCTAAGCAGTTTGCCTGCATTATCTCACTTAAGACTCCTAAGAGTCTCAATAACCCCATTTTTCAGATAGGGAAAGTGGGGCTTAGAGAAGTCACATGGTTAGAAAGTGGTAGACACACCCAGCATTGAATCTTGCTATATCAGACCCTGAATTTCCTGTTATAGGCTTCAAGGAAGGGTATCCATTTGGCTTCTACCATAGGGCTGGGTTGTGTCAATTATTTCTTCTGTCTCCCTCAAAACTCCTTCAGGTCAACCCTGGGCTGGTGAGTGATGTCCACATATTCCCTTTTCATAGGCTTTGGCTCTCCCACCCTGACTGTCCTGGAAGGGGGAACCCCAGGGAGTTTTCCCCAAGTCACTCCACCCCCCCCCCACCCCCCCGGATGTTCTCAAGCCCTGTCCCGTTCTCCCAGCCCAAGCCTGGGCCGGCTCCTCCTTCCTCTTGGCGAGGCTCTGGAAATCCAGTGGGAGGCCATTGCTATGGCAACAGGACTAGGCCCTGGCTTTACCTCATCAAATTCCAAGCTGAAGCCAAAGCGATTGAGAAATTAAAGAAAAAAATGTATTCCAGATGTTTACTTTTTATTCCTTATTTTTCCGTGTTTGGATGAGACAGCTCTGAGGGAGGGGGGAGTAGGGCAGGGGTGTGGAAGGAGAACGGGAGAGAGGGGAGAGGGAACCACTCCCAGCTGCAGCGGGGAGGGAGGGAGGGAAGGGTGAACGGGAAGGGGGAGGCAGGCGGTGGGGCGGAGCCCCAGGTTGGGGAGGAGCGGGTTTTTCCCGTCTCCCATGAGGTGATTCACGGAGAGACTTCAGACTTTGTGGCCCTCTTGCTCTGCCTCCAGTAGAGTAGATAGCTCCAGCGGGGTCTCCTGACCCAAGGGGCACCTTGGGACTGTAAGTGGGGTGTCTGGGACAGCTTGTCAGAGGAGGGAGCAGTGGGTGGCTCCCTGAAGCTCCTGGACTGTGGGGTTAGGAGACCAGTTGGAGAGGATCTGGGAAGAGTTGAGAATCTGGCTGCTGGGAACCTCCCATGACCTCTTGTACTCTGCCTACCCGCCCCCCCCCCCCCCAGTTCGCTCTTCCTGTCCCACACTTGGCTCCTGCTGGAAAGAGGAGACTTCCTCAGTTAACCTACTGCCAACGCCCAACTCTTTTTCTTTCTCTTCTCTCTCTCTCTCTCTCTGTCTGCCTGTGTCTTCAGACACCTGGCTCACGCCCCTCTGCTTCCCACTTCTCAAGCAGGCTCTGCTGCATGTGATGAAAGTATCTACTCTCAGGGAAAGCACAGCCATGGCTTCCCCACTGCCCCAGGAGATGGAGGAGGAGCTGGTGCCTGCTGGCTCCGAGCCAGGTACGGATGGGGGTGGGGTGGGGTGGCTGGGAGGAGGGCAGGAATGGTGGGGGCAGCACCCCCTTTCTCTTGTGGGGGTGGCTGAGTGATGGTTCTGTTGAGGCGGGAGGGAAGGAGTACTGAGGAAATGCAGGATGCATTTGAAAGGTTCTCAGTTTCTGTTGAGACTTTGGGACAGTTTGAGATCTTGGGTCTTCAGCAGGCAGCAAAGCAGATGGGGACCTTCGAGATGATGTGGGTTGAGCCGCATGTTTTCCAGAAGGGGAAACTGAGACCCAGAGGGAGAAATGGAGTGCACCTATGGGGCTTTGAGCCCAGGCCTTCTGGCTCCCCGTCTAGACTCTTTTCTTTTGCTGTCCGAATGAGTAGGTGATATAGGACTCTATTAGAAGGGTTGTGCCCATGAGTAATTCCAAGGTCTTTATTTGGCGTTGGAATGCCTTACACAGAAGGTAGGTTTCTGGTTGTGTTTTTTTTTTTTCTCCTGTAGCAGATTTGCTTTTGTTTGACTTAGGTCAATAGAAAGTTTGCATTCCTGATCACACACCAGATGACAGTGGGGAGGTGGCCTGGGGGTGCACTGGGGGAGGGGGAGGAGAAGTTTAGCTGGGATGATAGAGTAGGGTGTCTTTAAGGGGAAAGGACTAGATTGGGGAGATAGGGGCTGACTGCTCGATGTAGGCAGGAAGGCATTCATTTATTGGCTTATTTGCTCATTCACGCATTCATTCATTTAATAAGAACTTGTGCCTAGTGCAAAATAGGGTATAGGAGAAATAAGGTGCTGGCTGGGTGTTCAAATAGCTTTAGCTTACAAGAGGAATTGGCTAAACATTTTGTGAATTTGGAGAAGGAAGAAGATGCTTCTGAGATGTGTGTAGAAAATCAAGGAAGGCTTCATGGAAGAGCTGGCATTTGACTTGTGCCTAGAAGGATGTGAATATTCTTAAATTGGAGGGTGAGGGATGAGGTGGGACAAGAAACCCAACAAGTTCTACTTCCTGGTTCTTCTGACAGCCCTTCCTCCATCAACGCTTTCCTTTTGGTAGGTGACCCTCCGGCCAAACCCCCTGTCAAGCCCAAACCCCGAGCTCTACCTGCCAAGCCAGCCCTGCCTGCCAAACCCAGCCTGCTGGTGCCTGTTGGGCCTCGGCCTCCCCGGGGTCCCTTGGCTGAGTTGCCTTCTGCCAGGAAGATGAACATGCTAGCAGGACCCCAGCCTTATGGTGGCAGCAAGCGTCCCCTTCCCTTTGCACCAAGGCCTACAGCCGAGGCCCCTGCTGGAGGAGAAGCCACCCAAGAGACTGAGAAAGAGGAGCTGCCCCCTTTGACACCTCCAGCTCGATGTGCTGCCCCAGGGGGTGTGCGAAAGGCCCCTGCTCCTTTCCGTCCAGCCTCAGAGCGCTTTGCAGCCACCACAGTGGAAGAGATCCTGGCGAAGATGGAACAGCCTCGAAAGGATATCCCTGCTAGCCCTGACCGCCTCTGGGGCTCCCGTCTCACATTTAACCATGATGGCAGCTCACGATACGGCCCCAGGACCTATGGTGTGGCCACAGGCCCCAGGGATGAGGATGGCAGGACCCTTTCCAGGGGATGGTCCCAGGAGGGGCCAGCAAAGTCTTCCACACAGTGCCAGGAAGAGCACAGCAAGACCCCCGAGGAGAGGTGAGGGGGAGGTGGGAGGTTGGGGGGAGCAGGCTGGGGGCTGGGGGCCCAGCAGGTGTCCCCAGGCTATGACCTTCACCTTCAGGTTAGTTATGTGTTGTGAGTACAGGTGGACCCTGATCTAAGTCACAAAGCATTCCCTAGCAGATGGTGTTGTCAGATTGTATGCTTTTAAAAGCTGCAATTCTCTTACAGAATTGACTCATGTTTATAGCAAAGAGTTCAAATGTACAGTGTAGAAGTTTATCTTTAGTTTCCGTATACTGAGAGCTGGGCACCAAATTTTGCCTCATTGAATCCATGGCCTGTTTGTTGAAGGGACCATTAGGTCCATTTTAGAGATGAGGAAACTGAGGCTCACTGTGACTCCTCATAGCCGCTCGACAAGTTCAAAGGCAGACATGGAGTTTGAATTCGGGTCTGTTTGATTCCTGTCCTAACTGCTAGCTCCTACTGTGGCAGAGCAGTGTGCCAGTCCTGGGGTGGAGGTGCATGTGTCAGGACGAGTAGGGCACAGTCTCTGCCTGTGAGGAGGAATCTGATGGGACAGATAAGACAGGAACACATCTTGATGCCAGGCTAGCTGGTGTCTGCACAGAGATTATGGCTGGCTGGAGACATTTGCATATGATACACTTCCCTGGAGTTGGCACTAGTGTAAAGGAAGGCTGGCTGCCACCCTTGGGGCAGTGGACACAGGACATTGGAGGCAGAGACTGAGGGATCTCAGGAGCTGTCAGCTGTGTGGAGGCCATTCTCAGGGCAGGGAGAGCCAGCTTGAGGCCTGGCAGGCCCCCTGGGCCATTGGCTGCCCTACTGGGCCCAGAGGCTCCCTTCCCCGTCCTGTTGCCCTGAAGGGAAGGGCTGCTGTGGTCTGGGCTGAGCAAGAAACTGAAGGCCTCTTCCCCGCCCTGCCCTCTGGCCTTGCCTTCTCTCACCTGAAAGTGTCTGGAGGCTTGGCCCTGGAGTTAACCCTTTGCTTGTCCCAGACCAGTGTGCCATGAGGTCACACTGGTGCCCAGGCTGAACTCCGCCCTCCACCTTCCTTCCCTCCCTTGCTCCAAGCAAGGCTTAAGAGGAACAACTTCAGCCTTGGAAAATCACTCTTCCCCCTCCTCCCCCTTGGTGTTCTTCAAGAAGTATTGGCAGGGCAACAGGACGGGACCAGCTGTACTCTTCCTGGCCGGAGGAGATCTTTAACCCCTTATGGGTTAGGGGAAGGAGGATTTCTCTTTTTGGGAACCACTGAGGGTTCTGGGCATACAGGATGCATTTCCTAAAGGGGCTGGGGGAATTTAACTGTTCATGTGCAGGAAGGGAGCGGGCACTATCTCCTGGGGCACTTGCTCTGTGGAAACTGGACAGCATCTGTGTCCTTCATCATTCCAGGCAGGGCTCAGGAGTAAATGCCTGGGGATCTTGAACCTTCGCCTGCCGGGAGGTTGCATAGGGAGACTCTCGCCTTCTCTGTTCTGTGCCAGGCTTTAATATTCTGTGCTTTCGTTTCCTGTCTTTCTCCTTCCCAGGATGCCCACTTCTGACCTGGCCGTCAATGGGGACCTGGCAAAGCCGGCCAGCTCTGAGCCACCTGCTGCTGTGAGTTATCTTATCTTCCTGTTATGAGTCGGGATCACAGTACTGTAGAGCTGGAAGGGTCATCTGACATCATCTGTGTCACCTTCCTTGTAGTTCAGATGGGGAAACTGAGGCCTATGGAGAGGGTAACTTCCCTGAGGGCTGGGCCTGGGACCCAAGGCGGCTAAGTGTGGTTCAGGCCACGAGGCTGCTTGCTCTAACAGTAACGATAATACCCATAACAACGGCGTCGATTGAGTACCTTTTTTGTACTGGACATGTCACAGTCCTTGTGATGACTCTGGCCGGCGGGCCCTGTTAGTCCCACATGGCGGACGAGAACGCCAGGCCTCACCAAGATTCAGGCTGAGACAGGCACTGCAGCATCTGCCTCCAGTGCTTTCCCTGGGCTGCTTTTCCTGGGTTCAGAGAAGGGGAGAGTTTCTTAGGGGTTTCCTGTGACACCTGCTCTTCTTCCCACCTGGGCCATTGGCTGCCCTGATGGGCCCAGAGGATCAGGGGATGGGCGGCTAGCTTCCTCTGGTAACCGGGACATGGGATGGCCCCTCTTGCTTGCAGAGCCCTCACTACCCAGAGGCTGTGCTGGCTGCCCCGTGATGGAGACCTGACTCCACTCACTTGCCCATCCAGCAAACAGTGACTGAGCGCTTGCTGTGAGCTGGGTGCTGGGAGACTGTGCCAGGACCAGGGTGTCACCGCAGAGGGCAGGGAGTGAGCTGTGTGCCTGTTTGGGGAACAGCATTCTTGGCAGAGGGCACTGCAAGTACAAAGGCCTTGATGTCTGGATCAAAGTGAGAGAGGAGGAGGTGGGTCGTAGTGAGGGCCAAGAGATAATAGGGTCAGATTGCGTTGAGCCTCACAGGCCGCCATAAAGACTTAGGCCCGAGAAAGGGGGAGAAGCAATGGAGGTGTTTGGAGGAGAGGCGTTGACATACTGCTCATTTGGTTGTAAAGAGTCACCGTGCTCGCTGGGTTAAGAGTCGGTGGCAGGGAGGTAGGATCAATAGCAGGGGCCAGTCAGGGGGCTGTTGGAATAATCCAGGTGAGAGATGATGGTGGCTTGGACCCTGGAGGCAGCCTGTGGTGGAGATGGTGAGAAGCGGTTGATTCCGGGCAGAATTTGGAGGTGAAGTGGACAGGTCTTTCAGATAGACCGAAGTGAGGGGAGAGAGCTGATGCAGGATCCAGGATGACTCCAGGACTTTTGGCCTGAGCATCCGGAAGGATGAGGTTACCATTTACTGAGATGGGGACTTCGAAGGGCGAAGCAGATTGCGGGGAGATAGCAGGCACTTGTTTCTGGACTTGCTGAGTGCGAGATGCCTTTCAGACATTCCGCTGGAGACGTCAAGCAGGAGGTTGGATAGTGGAGCCCGGTGTTCAGGGAGATAAGCAAGTTAGGAAAACTTGGGAATTGTCCATAGACTGGCTGAGATCGCCAGGGCAGTGGGGAAGGTGCAGGATGGAAGGACCCTGAGCCCTAGCAGAGGAGATTGGAAGGAGCAGATGGGGAGATGGGAGGAGAGCCCGGGAGGGCAGCCTGCGGGACGGGAGGTGAGGCAAGCTGAGCACCGAGAGAGGCCACCCACAACCTTGATGAGAGTAGTTAGGTGATGTGGTAAAGGGAAAAGCCTGTTTGGAGAGAGAGGGAATGGGACAAGAGGACCTATAGATAGTGAGTGTCGATGATGCTTTCAAGAAAGTGGGTGGTAGCTAGAGACAGATGTGGAGTTGAGTGGTTTTTTGGTCTGCTTCTTTGTTTTTCTAAGACAGAGGAAACTAGAGCAGTTTGTGTGATGATGGAAGTGATCCGGTAGAGAGGGAGAAATCCATGGCGCAGGGGAGAGTGGAGGGGTTGACCTTAGCCATGAACGAGGACAGTGCCTGACTGCAGAGCACTTGGGCTCACGTGCGGGGTGCGGGTGGTGTGAGGGTGTGGGGTGTGGGTGGTGTGAGGGTG